CTGGGGCAGAAGGTGGGATGAGGAGTCACTTTGCACCCCTAGTGACCACACAGGACAGACAGTCCTGCCGTGCTGACAGAAACAGCAGGAGCCCAGGAGATTGGAGCAGCCCTGAAATAACTACCCCTAAGCTCCCGCTTTGCAGTGATGCAGTTCATGAAAACCTGTGGCCTCCTCACTGATGACCTGGGAGTGCTGTCTCTCCAGAAAACCAGCCACAGTAGCTCAAAAAGTTGTAGATTCAAATGCTATCACAGAAACTCCTCCACTCACACAGGATGCATCTCTCTGGGCTGCTCTAGAGCTCATGAGAATGCCTGATGCATGGCTCACTCTGGGCTTGCGTCTGCACCTACACCGGAACACCCACGTTTAAAGCTCACCTGTGGCTTTATTACTGCTTTCCAGTACTTGATGCTTCACTGGCTTCATTTTACTCTGAGTGATGAGATACATTCATATGCTGTGTAGCATTGCTAGTTTTCTGTTTTCCTGTTTGTGCTTCTTAGATGTGAACCAGATGCTCAGCATACACATGCACATGCATATACACACACATAACAAACGCATGCACACATGCGCACACACACGTGCACTCACACAGCTTTGGCTGAAATCGCATTTTTAAACACAACACATTCTTGCGTTTGTAGCCTAAGGCACCATTTCACAGAAAGCCACTCTCATTTCTAGCCAGTTCCCGGGTCCTCCTGCTCCACACCCCACAGAGAGGGTGTGAAGGCCAGGACATTCACCTGCCGCACTGCACCTGCTCTAAGGAGAGGCTGCTTGGATCTGACCTGTGCTTTCCACTGCTGTCCATGGCTTGAACTTTCCCTCCTCCCTGACCTTATTCATTTGAATTACAGTGCTTATGTTTACCAATGTGCTTTATGGTAGAGTAATAAGAACTAACACACATGTATGTATGCAACACCTGAATGCATTCAAAATGTTTCTTGCACACTCATTTTGACTCTGGGGAGAAGATGGAAGTCACATAGGGCCAGATCTGGTGAATAAAGTAGATGAGGACACAGGGTCAAGTTTCTATGAGCCTGTATCTCCACTGGACAGTGCTCAGCAGAATTCACTGTTTTTTTTTTTTTTTTTTTTTTGGTGACATCTTGCAGAGACCAGCATGAAAGGGCACTTCTAGAGCTGCTTCAGAAAGTAGGTGCTCTTACAAAACACAAAACAGAGAGAGAGAGAGAAAGAGAGAGAGAGAGAGAGAGAGAGAGAGAGAGAGAGAGAGAAAGAGGGAGAGAAGGAGGAGGAGGAGGAAGAGGAAGAGGAGGAGGAGGAGGAGGAGGAGGAGGAGAGGAGGAGGGAGAAGAGATGATGGGGTAAGTTTGTTGTTTCCTGCATTACATTTAAGAAGAAATTGAGGCCTCCACCATACGTTTCCCTCAGTCTGCGGTTTCCTCAGCAGCCTCAGAGCCAGCCGCTGCTGGGGAGAGGCCTGTGCTCACTCCCAGGACCCCAACAGTGCTCTGCAGCCAGGTCTCAGGAACCCTACTCACAATCTCAGTTGACCCCAACACTTCATAGGGTGCTACCTCAGGGCAGGCTCTCCTCTTGGCTCCCTAGGGAGTCACAGCCCACACCACGAGGAGCAAGACGTGACCCAGACCACGTAGTCTGTGTGCTTTGCACATCGTTCTGTCACCTGATGGTGACCGGCTTTAGCACTGTGACGCTACATTTCTGAGCTTCAGGGTTTTTTTATTTATGGATGACTGATGTGGAGATCGGCAGCAGTGTTAGTACGGGGTAAAGGCTGAGTTGTGACTGAGGCCCCCATCAGCCAGAGGTCACCGCAGCACTAGGTTCCTCAGGGTGGCACAGGGATGCTCGAGTCCCTCTGCTGACAGGAAAAGACACGGTTTCTTTTCATTCCTGGTAATTCCTTGTCTCCATTGAAAATGATTCTAACACAGCACAGGTATCCAGATTCATGTGGGGCTGGCGCAGCTCCGTGAACTGAGTATTTAATGTAAGACCATGTTCGTTTCCATTGTACTTTGAATACTGAAATCTCATTTTGTAATTGAAGGAACATTCCTAAAACACTTCCACATGATAATGTCTTTACAAGCATTTTCCCATCTCTCTCTTTGCTTTGCTACATTTGTTTACCCTAGTGTGTTTTTCCTTTCACATTTTCCAACTCTAGCTCACAAATAAAGTCATCCTAAAATGTAGTTAAATAGGTGAGGTTTGCTTTCAAGTTGCCTGAGTTCAAATCTCACCCCTAGCAGCTGATAGCGTCACCATGGGCAAATGACCTGGCCAGTTTCTATACATGCAGCGAGATGTGGGTGCTCTCGGTGTGGACCACGCAGAGCTGACATCCAGATTAAACTGATCAAAGTACAGAAACACTTAGAGGCCTATGGACACAAAGTAACCACTCAGACTGTCACCTTTTCTAGGGGTATTGAGGTATTACCTGAAAATGAAAACCAAAAACCAAAAACCAAAATAATCTCTCAAAAGCATTGGCTGTTGTGACAAGGGATAAACTGGAACCAAGCGATTTTGAGAAGCAAACACTGCATTCTCTGTGGTGACTGACAGTGGAAAGTCATCGAGGATACAAGTCACAAAGAAGGGTGAGCCACCTCTAGGAGCTGGCTCAAGTAAACTCAAGTAGAATCTGAATTTGTCCTCAGGATAACAACAACAACAACAACAACAACAACAACAACAACAACAAAAAAGACAACTCAGGATTAAAATTCACAGGTTTGGGGCTGGGGATTTAGCTCAGCGGCATAAGCACCTGCCTTGCAAGCAGGCGGTTGTGAGTTCGATCCCCGGTACCGATAAAAATGAAAAAGACAAAAAAAAAAAAAAATAAATAAAAAAAAAATAAAATTCACAGGTTTGAAGTCAGAGAAAGACACACCATGGCTTTATAAATTCTGAGAGTCTCACTACAGAGATAGAAATGAATTTTAGCCAGCAGTGTTTCTCTGTCCTCAATAATCTTAAATCAGGACTGATGTCTGAAGGAAGAAATGCAATAATGAAATGGTAAAATCAAATGACAACAGGGAAAGCCCACTTAAAAATGTAATGAAGAAAGAGCAGAAACAACATGGGTAAAATCAAATGAAAAAGCAGGAGCGATCGGCAGGAAATAAAATTAATAATAAAGCTGGCAAATCTCATTAGACTAGAGTAGCTAGGATTGTATCACTTTTGATTGTCATCATTATAACCAATTTGTTTTTATTTTACTTAAAGAGAAAAACGAAACAAAACAAAGCAAGACAGTAAAAGGCTACAGAATTTCAAGAGAAAAAATATACAGTAAGAATTAACTAGTTAATAGATTACATATTATCATCTCAGAAACAGTTGTCCAGCTTACAAAATTAGAGCATATCAAGTGGACATTAATACAGTGAGATTGCAGACAGTTCTGTTCAATGATCCAACAAAACCTCAGTAATACGGTTTTCTATCCTACACACTTAAATACACTTGCAGTTATATCCTTTAGATCACTTTCTTTCCTCCCTTTTCTATGCTAACAATCACACATTTTGGGTTCCTTTATGCCTACAGTTCTTATAACTTTTTCTTTGAAGAGGAAAAGAAAAAAACATAAAACAAGAAACAAGACAAAACAAAACAGAACAACAACAACAACAAAAAAACCCCAATGTGACAAAGCAAAACAGAGTCAGTTAGAACAGGAGGATGGACATAGTATATAATGCAAAAAGAGATTACTAGGTGATCAACAATGGTTACCAATCTGCCTCTTGTTATCCTAAAAAGAGTTGCCTATATCAGCTGGTATAAAAGAATTGAACAAAACAGTACAGAACAAGACCAATAAAACCCACATTGTAGACCTTACAGGACTTCCAAAGAAGATAAAATTCAACCATAATGGGCATCATAGAGTATCTGGTTGCCTTCAAAGTGGAATTATAACCAATTTTTATAGAAAAATGTTGACTAAGATGAAATTTCCAGCAAATATCATCAGAGATGCTACTCATAATTGATTCAAAGACAGAAAATATTTCCATGGAAGTTTAGGAAAATAAAGTGTAAAGAGCAAGCAACTTCTTAAGACAGAAATATAAAAGCCAAAGACATCTTCTAAGCTGTCTAGCCCCAATTTTGTCCTTCGAATCCAGTATATTTTCTAACAGGGCAGATAACCCAATGTTTAGCTTTTCACCGTGGGCAGCAAGGAATTTTGGTCATTTTGCTCTGTCTGTCTGGTTTTTTATGTCTGGAAATTTATCCTGCAAAGTGCATGCGATCGTTTGGGGAGATTTTTATTGAATTCTTATCAGCGACATGAGAACATTTTCAAGCAACCTAAATAGTTAGAACCTGTGAGTCAGATACACAGCACCATAACTTGCACTTGGGAATCCTGGTCACCCCAGTGTCTGGACCTGCCTGGCCAGCCTGGTGCACATTCCCTGCTCCCACCCATGACGCCCTCTGCAGTGCTATTTGCTGAGGGCAGAAAGCGTCAGCCATGGGCTTGGACCGACTTGGAAGCTACCATTCCCTGTGTACCTGGTTCCGGACACAGCAGTGGAAGTGAATCTGAGCTGGTGCTGACTGAAGTCCAGATCTAAGAGGTGCCACTTCCAGCTCCCCTCTCGGAGAGCGGAGATAGCATATTTGGGAGCTCAGGGTCTAGGGCCAAACTACAGGAGATGTTGGCGTGGCTATTGTAGAGTAAAATCTGTATGAAAGGGGGAGACGGAGGGCACTGTATGAGGGGTGGAAGCGAGGCGTCCCACTCGAGTGACCTGGCTGCAAAGCACTTTCTTATCAGGAATGGTCAGTGTAAACTGGGAGTGCTGGTGCACACCTGTAATCCTAGGACCGGAGGCTGAGACAGGAGGATCCTTGTGAGTTCGAGACCATCCTGAGCAGCTACAAAGTGAGCTCAACACCAGCCTGAATCGCATAGTGAGAGCCTTTCTTAAAAAGACAAGAAAGAAAGAAAGAATGCATTACAAGCAATTTTCTATCAGAATTCTTTATTTACCCATATACTTTATCCATTTCTAATGTGCTTAATACAAGAAAAAAGGATCAGGGGAGAATAATCTCATAATTATTTCCATCACAACACAAGCTGAGGGTAACCCTGGAACAGTGCTCAGATCCCCCTCCCCATGGAAATCCAAGGATCTTTGGGTCGACAAAGTCACCACCACCTCTGTCTCTCTGTCCTCTGCATACTGAGGACAGGTCTGGGGACAGAGAGGAGTAAGGTCGGAGGACACACATTCTCCTTTCTACCTGGAGCCCGTTCTGAGAGCTCAAGAGCAGGCAGGCTGTCTTGGTGCCCGCTAGGTCCTCCTCAGGTCATCTCCAGGTATTCACCTACAGCACAGCAGGCTGACAGGCAGGATGTCACTTGTCCTCGGAGACGGCTAAGGTGTGCGTGAAGAGCTGAATTTATGGACGACACTTCCTCCACTCGGCTCATCAGTGACAGTAACGTGGGGCAGCTGCCTCCTTCAACCTTGAGCTCTGAGGGCCAGGGAGCTGCTGCAGTGGACGCCACACCCCCCTGGTACTAATGCCTGGGGTGCAGGGCCAGCATTTGGTCAATAGTTGCTCATTATGTAAACAAACTACTGAAAAAGGTATCCGAGGGCACACAGTGATAAACTATGCACATCTCTATCCATAAATCAGTGGCGTGGGATTCTGTACTAACTGCCACTGGAAAAAAATTTTTCTTAGAAGAACATCATAGTATCTAAATCTTTATATCTTCACACAGGGTTCAACATTCAATTAAGGAAAAGAAATGGAGGGAGTAAAATAAACTTCCATTGTTTGCACAAATGAGACAAACTCATCTGCAATAAGGGTTTTAAAGTATAGAACTTAAAAACTGAAAGGAGATTGAGGCTCTGAAAGCAGTAGGAGAATTCAGTAACAGTTTCATTTCCCTCCAGGTGCAGGAGGAGGTGGACTGGCGAGCAGGGCTGTGGGAAAATATCCCGACTGAGGGAAAGCGACGCTATGGAAGAAGACCGAGTAATACAGACACTGGGAGAAGCCTCACAGACCAGAGCCCGGGAAGCTTGTATTAGTCGCTCCCTAGAGGCAGTCTCAGAGGTCCAGAGATCTCCTAGACCTAGAATCAGAGAAAAACATGAGCGGAGAGCACGTCTGAGGTTGTCAGGTATGATTACATCTTATAAATGAGTTAATGACTAGGATACGTCTGAGAAAAAAATTCCCATATTCATTTAATGGTAAGAGTTGAGCAAAACATTTCCCACTCCAACAAGCACCCACCAGCTACAGTTTCCAGAGCCTGAAAAATTCTTTTCTTTGCAAGCTAATTAGATAGCATCTTTGTGTATCCCCTAGAGCTCAGACTTCTCAGAGATTATACTCGTGCATTTTTAAAAAAATGCAACTTTAAATATTGATCCGTCCCTCTCCTTAGAAAAATAATACACCGTTGTTTATTGAAGACCCTGCATTTACTTTGGGTCTGCGCCAGACAGGGGTGAGGAGACCTAGTTTTTGTGTCTTAGGAGCTCATCCCAGGGACAGCATTAAGAAGTGAGCGTAGATCTCTGCCGGGTCAGAGACTCTGGAAAGTTCTGCCCTGCTCCCTGCCTGGCTTCGGAGCCGGTCCGCTTGGTCAGGGCTCGCTGGTCCGGCTGTAGCTCAGACGGCCTACGTTGGGCGCCTCTGCGCGGACTCAGAACCTCCCGGCTAGCACAGTTCTGCGGTTAGGCTAGGGTGGTTGGAGCGCACGAACCCCGATTTCTTGGGCCACGGACGCAGCCGCGCCTCGCCTCGGGGAGCACGCGGGACGGCGGGGACCTGTGTCCCACGCTTGACGTCTGAGCACGCGCTCGACCCAGCGGCACAGAGCTTAGCAGCTGGGGCAGCGGGTGCGGGGCCCGGACCCCGAAGTGGGGGATCCTGGACTGTCACGAGCTCTCAGAGGAAGCTAAGGACCAGAACGGACCCCGCGGAGGCCAAGTGGGCCACAACTGCAGGTGCCGAGGAGGGCCGCGCAGCGCGAGTCTCCTCGCTCAGGATTGGGCGGGGTGCGCGGGTGCCCTCCCTCCCTCGCCTTCGGGGGGGGGGGGGAAGGGAATGGACGGGGTCGGGGCGGGGTCTCGGGGCGGGGGCGGGGTCTCGGGGGCCGGCAGACCTCGGACCGGTGGGCGGGGCTCAGGGGCGGAGCCCGAGCCGGAGTCCAGAGACCAGCGCTGCGCGCGGTGCAGAAGCAGCCCTTCGCGGGCTCGGGCACCGCGGGTCCTGAGCTCGGCTTCGCGGGCCGCGATGAGCTATGAGTGCCCAGGGCTCCTGCCCGCCCGCCGCCCCGCGAGGGCGCCCCGACCGCCCGGAGCCCGCGCGGGTGAGTGGGGCCGCCCCTTGTGTCCCCCCATCCCTCCTGTCCCCTATTGTCCTCCTGTCCCCCTGTCCCTCCGTGGCTTGGGGACATCGGCATACCGTGGGGCTTCTACGGGGCGGCGTCTGGGTGCTGCTGCTCGGTGACCCGCCGAGCGCTTGTTGTGCTGCGGGGCTGGGGTCCGCGGAGGTGGGGTCCCGTGGCCGAGGTGGCGGTGCTGTGGACTCTGTCCTTGCGAGGCTGTCGCCTGCGCCCGCCTGCCAGCAGCTCTGTGTCTATTCCGGCTCCTTCTCAAGGAACACCCTCCCCGCATCTATTTTAAAATAAACTATTGATTGACAAACCCAGAAATGCCGCCTTGAATAGACCTGGGAAGTTATGGGAAACCCGCGAGCTCAGCCCAGCACCCAGACAGGAGGGGCAGGGGTGGCTGGGGGTGTGTGATAGGGCTCGCTGGGGACACCGGACACTGTGGGGCTCACAGGGGACTAGGACCTGCCACGGGCTGCCGGACATGCCAGCTGCTTCTAAACTCGGGGCGGCGGCTATCTGCACTGGCTGGTGGATGCGGACACTTCTGTCTTGGGTCCTGGCTGTGCCATTCTGGGGAGGGATCACATCTTTATATGATGTGTGGAATGAGGGTGTTTCCCTATTTTTAAGTACTCGGTAATATAAACACCCAGTGCGTCCACTGCAGGAGGAACTGAAAGCCTAACAGTGACGCTTGGATTCCCTGGAAATAAACTGCACACACACACACACACACACACACACACACACACACACACAAAATCCTGACTTTCTGGAGATCACTGCTTTCTATTTTATGATTGTGGTGATTTTCAGAATGATCCCCTTCTGTGGTTAGTTGTTAGTAATTTTGGGAAAGGAAATTCTTGAGTTTGGTTTGTAACCATTGTAATTATATTGGAAGAATTGCACTTGTTACATTTTATAATCTGATTCAGTTGAGGAGTTTAGGAGACAATTCAAGTTAAAAGAAAATCTACAATGGCAAGAACTCAAGTGACCACACTGAGTGACCTGTTGATTGCTTGCAGGTGCTAAGGCGGCATGCGGCGGGGTCTATTTCGTGCTCTCTTAGCTGTAAGGACCTTGATGACTCAGGCACGCCTGAAACCCTGCTCCATAGGAGGCTGAGGCAGGAGGATGGCAAGTTTAGGACCAGCCTGGGCAAATCAGAGAGATCTTGTCTCACAGTGAAACTGGTGGATGGCGTAGGTCGATGGTGGGGGTACTTGTGGGTCTGATCTCACTACCACAAATGTACATATGAAAGGATTGGGAGGACGTGAAATGGCTCTCAGGAGCTGTACTTTTGGGAACTTTGGTCCACACCAGGGGACTGCCTTTCACCTGTGACACAGAGCAAGCTAAGAGCCGGATCCGGACTTGGGGGTCATAAGTAAAGCAGTGGGCTGCAATGCTACGTCCAGCCTGTACATGGTGAGGTCTGGACTTGTGTTGTTTAGAAGGATGTAGGTCTTGAGTTTGCACCTTTGCCTGACAGCAGTGACCTGCTCAGCCCCAGTGTGACTGTTGCTTGTGGCCTTGTGCATTTTTGCAGAGGAGGCCTGCATGGCCAGTGGACAGGAAGCCTTGCAGAGTTACTGATTTTCTTCTCAAAAGCTGTGCATGTTATCGAACCAGCATGGTTATGTAATAATTTCAGCTAAGAGAATTGGTGCTTCTAATTAGAAAAATAGAGGCAAAACAAGGGCAGACGTTACTGAGTCCATTGTATTTCCAGTCATTTTTTGATACAACATGGTCCTCTTCAAGCCTTCATTTTGGCCAGCTTTGGGGTCTGAGGGTCTTCTCTGGTTCCAGTGAGCATCTGGGTCAGGCTAGGGATGCAGCACAGCCCTGTGTGTTCCAGGGCTTTGTTGGGGGGGGGGGCGCTGAGTGCAGTGTGGTCTAGGGATCCTGCCTTTCCCTCCCACCTTGCAGCTGTGTCCATGGTGTCCCGGCCTCCCCACCCACAAGTGTGCATTGGAGAGGTGCTGGCTGACAGGCAGGATAGGGGATGCCTGGTCCCTTTCAAGGTGCATGTAGTAATGGGGGAGATGGGACTGTGCTGGGGTGAACTTGGGTCTCCTGGGGAGCTGCCCCTGTATGTCATGATTTCCTCACATATGCTTCATCTTTGACACATCTTTGTGATCAGTTGTAGAATTTCTATGGGTGTCAGTAACACCAACTGCAGGATAAAGTCCAGCGTTTTCAAACAGGAAGTGACCGGGTTTTACCAGGAAATGTGATGCATGTAGTAAATGTCTGAATAAGGTTATGAAAATGTTCACTCAGCTGGGGACAGTGGCACAGGCCCATAATCCCAGCACGCAGGAGACTGAGACAGAAGGATGGCTACAAGTTTGTAACCTAGGCTGGGTTACAAAGTGACACCCTGTCCCCAGAAACAGCAACAACAAAACAACAATTAGAAGGGCTTTTTGAAGATATCATATGTTAAAACTGTTATTTTCTGAGTATGTGTGGGGTGACAGCCTGTTCCATCCAGGTGTCTATAGGTTTCAGTTTTTATTGAGATCTGCCTAGCAGGAGGACCTGTGGGACACACTCTGAGAGAGGCAGGTTGCTTGTTAAGTGGGCACATTTGCTCAACACCCAGGAGCCAGTGTGACCGTGGCTTTCCCGTGATGTAGAAGCATTGGTCACAGCAGGGACCTGAAGTCCCAAGGGAGAAGGCACCACCCAGGCATGTGGGGGACTGAGGTCTGCACAGGGAGACCCAGAGACCACAGGGAAGCCCCACACCTGTGCCTGTCCCCTGCAGAGTGTGCGGGGCAGGGCTTGGGGTCCCGAGGGTTCTCAGTGTCTGATCACCCCCGGCGGCTCTCTTTGTACCTGACAGGTTCTAATTGCATGTGTCTGTGGGCAGAATGATGTTTAGATACACGTATATGCTGGGGACAGAGGAAGCCAGGGCATTTGTCATCAGCCTTCAAACCGCCTGCTTCGATGTCAGAGGTGTCTGCAGTGAGAGGAGACAGGGACATGGGAAGAGGCCCGAGGAGTCATCGGCACTGGAGGTGGCCGAGTGCTTTCCTGTGCGCCTGCATTGTCCCTGTCCTCCAGCAGCACTAGGTGTCTCTGCACCCCAGTCCCCATGCAAGCAGCTTAGCCCTTCTATTTCTGCACTAAGCTCCCTGATGCTGACATGATGCCCTGGCGTCCCTTGGAGGAGCTGTCCTTCCTGTGCTCTGTCCCCAAGGAGAGGGCTTCCTGAGCGCTCCCGGGGCTGCGGCTTCCCCTCCCTTGGCCTCTGTATTTCCTTCTGCTCCTTGTGATTGATGCTGTTAGCAGGGCCCTGGAGATCCTGATGCGATTTCCGTTAGGATTTCTCCGTGAAATAGCTGCTTTCAAAGGGGCCTGCAATTTTGGATCCCAGCAAGTTTGTTATTATCCATCAGCTACGTTTTAGTCAAACAAAGAATCTGAGTGTAAGAAAAATTGTCTCTTCTTTGAGCAAACAATTATAAAGCATTGTTACATTTTTAGCATATAGCAGAATCAACTTCAGAGGCCTCTTACTTGGATATCCCTGAGCTTTGATTCTGCTGGGCTGGTTTTGTCTCATCTGTTTCTCTTTCCCCGCAACCTCACACCATGAGGTGTATTATTTGCAGTATGTCTGCGTTGTGTTCTCAGTGAATGGCATTGTTGTAGACGGGCAGCGTTCTGAGGGTCAGCCCAGCCCTGAACCGCATCCCTCTAAATGTGCCCCTATGGCGTTGAAGCCATTGCTTTTGGATTATGAATTTCCTTTTCTTACCATTTTCCCCAGACCACAGCCCTAGGGACCAGGTGCACTGCTCCCAGTACACGGTGAGGAGGACTGTAATTATTTAATCACAGTATAGGAGATTATGTCTACTTTAATCTAGATGTAAAAGTGTTTATATGTGAATGTAAATGGCAAGTCCTGTGTGAGAGCTGAGCTCCGGTCTGGGACGGGGCTGGGGGGGACACAGCCATGGGAAGGTGCTCGGACTCTGCAGCACCTGTTTGCTGATGTAGCTGCTGCTCAGGACAGTAATTCACCCTGGCACAATGTGACACGACTGTTAGCTATCATGAGGAATCATAATGTGTTTTCCATGGAGAGCAACTATTTTACACCTAGCAGAGTCCCACCCACACTGCTCGGCATGGCCCTGCACATGCAGCCTGGTCCCGGCCTGCTCTCGGGCAAGGCTGGAAAAACCAGGGGAAGCTGAACCTGGTCCCCGACTTGTCCTCCAGCCTGGCTGCTGTGGCTTTAGTACTGTCTGATGGATGCCTGCATAGCTACCACATTGGTCTGCAGCTTCTGCGCCTAATGCGTGGACCCTATGGTACACACCAGGGGTGCACAGGTCTGCACCCAGCCCAGCCTCTCCATGGCAGCCACTTCCTCCCAGCAGGTCTGGTTTCCTCCCTCCTTGTCTCCCTGCTCCTCCTCTCCCTGCTCCTCTCCCTTCTCCGCTTCCTCCTCTTCTTCATCCTTTTCCCCCTCTCCCTCCTCCTCTTGTTCTTTCCCCTCTTCCTCTTCCTCATCTGCCCTTTCCTCCTCCTCCTCCTCCTCCTCCTGCTCTTCCCCTTTGGGTTCATCGACCCCCCCCCTTCTGCTCTTAGCGTGACGTGAGGTGCGTGGGTGCTGATTTCCCGCCCTCCCCGGGTTAAACGGCTATCCTGAGCTGCAGACTCCGAAGCCGGCTGCAGCCTGCCGCTCAGGCCTCATGCGCAGCATGTTTCTGCTTCAGCGAGCTCCTGCATGCAGTCCTGATCTTGTACAGTGGTGCAGGGACTGCACCATCCATATGGTAGCCTCTCACGTTCTGCTGCGCCCACTGCCTCTGGCTGCCTGGGCCTTCGTCTTCCCTGGACCTCAGCCCTCCCCAGACAGCCCCTAGCTCCCCATCACCCTGCTGATGCAGCCCCTGAAGCCCGGGGCATGCACCGCGGTCCCCATTGTCTCGGCCTCAAGCATGTTGCTGGCCGAGACTGCACCCAGAGGGCACAGCCATCATGCTGCCCCCTGGAGTGGGAGTTGCTCCGTCTCCGCCAAGAAGGGCCAGGCTGGGGGGTGAGGCTTGCAGCCCCCATGTCCCCTGCTATTCGTAAAGTGCTTCGGGTGGGTCGGGAACCCCGTTTTTGGTTCCTGAGCTGAGGATTTCTACTGTACTCACGATTAGTATTTGGGCCTAAGTAAAATTATGCGTTTTTGTTTTTATCTTAGCTAAATTTTCAGTCTGCACATCATTGTGACCCCTAATGGTGAGGTGTGATTTATTCTCTTCCTCATCCGTGTCCTGAAGATTAAGCTTGGTGATTTTTTTTCTCTCAGGTAATTATGCTTTGCCAAATGGCACTGTTTTTTCATGTTGTAATTAAGTTTGCACTATTTTCCTGGCAATACAGAATTACTTCGTGGACCTTAGCTCCAGGATGCACAGACCCCAGGTGGGTCAGGAGCTTTCTCTTTGGAAATGCAGGCTGGTGTCGACCAGCTTAGTGTGGACTGTGCGCTCCTGAAGGAAACACGAGTGGCTCATTTTCCTGAAACTGTCCTGGACGGCAGCAAAAG